GGTGAGAGAATAAATCTTGAGGCTACTAGGAGAAAGAGCATTTCAAGTAAAAAAAGCAACAAGTAGGCACGAATAAGGACAGCATGAGCAAAGAAACAGATGGGATGAAACAGGGTCCCCAGACCAGAACCACCCATCAGTATCACCTCAGAGTTTATTGGAAATAAGAAGCTAAGGCTCAGACCTACTGAATCGGGTCTGCGTTTTGACAAAACCCCTACGTGATTCCTATGGAGGTAAATTTTTTAGAAGCACTAAACTAGACAAAATTAGGAGATGAACAAAATCAGTGGCCAGATTATATAAAGGCTTGCTGGATTTTCGTCCTGACTGATCAGATAGTCACTGTATGACAGTGAGAACAGTTAATGACCTCAGGTACTGCTTGCTGGATCAGATGTCTCCGTTGTGTCAATCATTAAAAGAAGAACTCATAGACATGGACAACAGCATGGAGGTTGCCAGGGCAAGGGGGTAAGGTGGAAGTGGAAGTGGTTATAGCAAGTGACAATAGAAAAAATACAATAATAAATAAAAATAAAACATATTACCTTCTTAAGACAGTTTACTCTCTGTGATAATATTGTCATAATAGATATACAATTTCACAATGGGTAACATGCAAATGTTGTTCCCCACAACTGCACAGTTTACCCAGTCGTATGTAGCAGACCCATAGCTTACATTTTTTAGGGGTCACCAGTGTTCCATGGAGAATAGCTTGTTAGGGACAAAGAGTGGAAGCACAAACACTAGCCGGATTTATCAGCAATCCACGTAAAAGGTGGTGATGGTTTGTTTGAGGCGCTAAAAAGTTGTAGGATTGTGGATATAATTTGAAGATAACACAAACAGAACTTACTGATGGATTAGATCTGGGTTTTAAGATAAATAAAGATGTCAACGGTGAATTTTAAACCTGAGAAAATGGAAAGCTGGAGTACCACTTAATAAGTAGAAGGTTTTGGGTAAAATTGATTCAATGTGAGGAAGAGGTATCAGTGGTCCAGTTTTAGACAAATGAGCTTTGAGATGCCAATTAGACATCCAGGTGGATATATCGAGTAGTCACTAGATTTATAAAACTAAAGTTAAAGAAAAATGTTTTGGTTGGAGATATAAGTTTGCAAATCATTATCTTTAAGATACTGTTTAAATTAAAGGCATGACAGTAGATAAACTCAGCTGATGACTGTGTATAGACAGAGAAAAAAAAGTTTATGGGACGCTGCTTCCGAACTTTGAAGCACATCAATGTTTAGGGTTGAGTAGATCAAGAGGAAACAGCTAGGAACACTGAAAAGAAACAACCAATTAAGTAGCAGTAAAGTTAGGAGGATTTCAAAACCACAGGAAAATGTTTCTAGACGGAGTAAGCACCCAATTATGTCAATTGAAGCAAATACGGAACACATTGTTGATTTTGACAAAAAATATCCTTTTAAATTCACTTTTTATTGTTCACACACATTTTTATTTTTCCTTCCTTATTGACATTTGCAAGCATAATAAATTGGATGCAGTGATATGGCTGTGTGTGGGTGGTGGAATTAATCCATTGTTAATTTCCCATTATGAAACAAATCATTGTTTTAAAGTTTTTGTTTTCTTATTTTTTCTTTATTTTTTCAATAACTTTTTTATGTTTTACTTAATGTTTTAATTGTATTTTAATTACCATTAGTCCCCTTATACCCCCTCCCCCCACAATTACCACACTGTTGATGAATTTTCTGCATCTCACAAATTTGATTTATTTTCCGATGTTTTTAACAGTAAAGTTAATAATCATTTTGTTTTTCCTCAGACTTCTCTAGGAACTAATCAGAGCTCTCTGTCCTGAAACAGTGCAGCAGAATGCATTGTGTTCTTCTTAAAGGCAGGTTTACAGAATTTTGAGCTGGTTCTCTCCCAGAGGAGAGATTTGATTTTTCTATTGTTCTCCTGATCACACAATGTATAATTTCTCCCCATCTTCCTTTCAGCGTTATTGGGCATAGTTTAGACAGAAAATCTGTCTAGGAAGGAAGGCTGCATATCAATTTTGTTGTCTTCTGTGCCTCATTGTTAAATACTAGCAGGATTGGAATATTGATTAGACAAGTGAAATTACTCATTTAAGACACCACATAGATTCTTCAAATTTTGACCTGGTATTATACAAGTTACACCTAGAAATGACATAAGGGCAATATAAATGGTGGAGAGAAAATATCAGCCTTGTAATTGCCAAGCATGTGACTATATATCATATAGTTAGGGCAGTGGAAAACTTTAACCAAGAAAAAAAAAAGGCTTGCTGTGTAGTTTTCACAATGAAGATGGCTCACTTCCTGTGTTGGATTATTCAGTATAAAAGTATTCAGATTCTAACCAGGTAGAGAATTTCAGTTTTATTACATGGAAAATAGTTATCACACAAGGAAGTTACAAAGATTGAATTTTATGTATAAGTAAAGCTCTTTACTACAGTGACTATAAAGTACGAAAGTCAATGAATGTTAATTTTGTTTTTATTCCTCCTACTTAAATTTCCCATTGGTTCCTTTGTTTATTCATTTTTTTCCTTCCCTTACACTCTATTCTCTCTCCATTCTACCTACTCTCTTCTCCCCTTTCCTTCTTTCCTTTCTCTTCCTCTGTCTACTCTCCATCTCTCACATCATCTGATTTTATTTTTAAAGTATGTCAAAATTATTAAATACTTATAATATTGTAAATAAAAATGCATGATTTTTTAAAAAATCCAGATGTCTGTGGGCACAGAGAAGTTATTCTACAACAATATGAGTCTGGGAATAGAGGTAACATCTGAAATAGAATGAGAAACACAGAAGATGCAACAAACTCCTCCCAGTGTAACTACTCCCAAACTTCTGTAGCCCAGTGGATCTAATCCAAAATGGATTTATGGTGAAACATTCTCTAATAGAGGAGACCTTTATAAAGGTAGTAAGATTTTCCAAAGACCACATTCCAAAAACAGGATTGCTCTGATTGTTGTTTCTAGAAGATCCAGCCTCTCCATGGATCTTTAGATTTTCATACCTAAGTTGGGCACAACCATTGAGATAGCAGGTAAAGTCAGCGTATTTAACCTTCACTACTGACTCAACCTTCAAAGATAAAATGGTCCAACCAGTTACAATCTAACTTCCAGTAAAACGTTCAGATCACCTTTTTTCAGCTCCTCTGGAAATATGTTATTCATATTGGCAAAGGCATAGCTGAAATCAGTTTTCTTAAAACTGAAATGCTTTTGCTCATCTATAAACAAAGCTCATGTAAGATTTTCTATTAAATACAAAGGAGTTTTTTTTTTCTTCTCCAATTTATCTATATACACAACTGAAGAAACTTGTGATTAATAATAAATATTGGTGCCCTGGCCAATGTCGCGCAGTTGGTTGGGCACCCTCCAGTAAAGCAAAAGTTCATGGGCTCAGTTTCCAATCAGGGCACATTGTGGTTTAGTGCCCCATTGGAGTGTGTGTGGGAGGCAACTAATCAATGTTTCTCTCATGTTGATCCTCCCCCCTCTCTCTCCATCTCTGAAATTAAACAAATAAATAAATGTCAGTAAATAAACCATTGTTACCTGAAAAAGTGGGGGACTATTTCAATAGTGTTCTTTTGTTTTTTTCTTCTCAGTTAAATTTACTCTGCCATTTTTCCTTCTACTATAAACATGGAGTACATATACAACATTTGTTTATGTGTGCTTATTCAAAATAGTATAAATATATTCAAGAAAAACTATAACCGCCCAAACTGTAATATATTCTATTTTAGGAATATAGATTTTCTTATTATTCTGATATACATAGACTTTATTGGATTTTTCTATTTGTTTAGAATTGACTCTCCTTTTCCTTATTAATTTTATAGGGCTAATAGTCAAGGCTCTAGTAACAATAGTAAGCATTTTATAAATATTCCTAAAAAATATTGATTTCTAAAATAAATGACCATATTTTCATTATTTTTCTACTTTTGTTTAAAATTTTGATTAACGAAAAATGTTGTGAACATGTACTCATTTAATTAATGTATGTGATACAAATGTGGCACCATAAAAATGCTAAAATAATAGAAAACATATATAGTGTGTATATATATCTGTAATGTTTATATATATAAATATTATATTTATATATTATTATATATAAACATTACAGATTTGAGTCATCTCAGCTATGATACAGATGGGGTAACTTTATCCAGATATATATGCCTGTCTGTTCATATTTTTTATGTGTCTGAAAACCTGGATCTTTTGTAAATAAGATCATAATTCCAAACTGTAACCCTATTTAAAATATTTCACTTTTAATTATTCAATAAAAGAGAAAAAAGACTAAACAGTTCTTTTAAAAAGAAAAGCAGTTGCATTATTTTACTTAAAAAATAACCCCAATGAATAGTTAACACAGGAGAAAAAATAGATAATAATTACTTGAAGTGACTTCTGTTTATGATGATAAAAGGCCTGGCACTGAGGTTCCCCAGTCATCTTATTAAATGTGAGCCATTGCTGTGTTGATAAGCATTCTCCTTGTTCTCTACCTGCTCATTGTCAAACTTGGAGTCAATTTTTTGCTAAAAATCCTTGTTTTCCATCACTCTCTGCCTTTTCAAAAAATTTTGTTAGTAGACAAAATGATTACAATATTAACATTTCCATGCTACTAGTTATTTTTATTTCTAAAACAAAATAATAAAAGTATGCTAAAACTACATTGAATATTGAACTGTCAAAGCACTTTAAGTAATAATAATAATAACTTCTAGCCACTATGTTATGACATTTCACTTCAACTTCTTTAGGAACTGGAAAATACATGCCAACTGTGGTCAGCCTCACTGTGTTTTCCTTTGGGCCATGCCTCTTTTCAGCTGTTTGCAGACAAAGTTCTAAGCAACAAAAACCTTTCATGTTCTGAGCACTGGGGAGAAAGGACTTGGTTACAAAAGTTCCTGCTTTCACTGAATTGTTCCAGGATTTATATGCCAGGGTGGCCACTTCACAGGCCATAATTATACAGGTGGCAAGTTCTTCTATGGGGAGAACTTAGATGATGAGAATTTCATCCTGAAGCATACAGGTCTTGGCATTTTGTCCAGGGCAAATGCTGCACCCAACACCAACAGTTTCCAGTTTTTCATGTCCACTGCCAAGAATGACTGGTTGGACGGCAAACATGCAGTCTTTGGAAAGGTAAAAGGCAGCATGGATATTGGGGTAGCCATGGACTGCTTTGGGTCCAGTAACAGCAAGACCAGCAAGAAAATCACTACTGCTGACTGTGGACAACTCTAATAAATTTTACTTGTGTTCTATCTTAACCACCAGACCATGGTTTCTGTAGCTCAGGAGAGTACTTAGTCACCCCTATCTGTGCTGGATTTTCTATAATCTTTGTTGCTCTCCCTCAAGTTAACATTGAGTTCCACATTTTTGTTATCTCCTCCAAGTCTAGCTGGATGGTAGAGCTAAGTTTATTATTATGAAATGAAAACTAAACAACAAAAAATGGAACATTACAAGCATTATGAGATTGAATGGAACTATAAAATGTAAAGTGGCTCTTTTAAAAAAAGTACTTCAAATAACTGAAAAGAGAAGACAATGTCCTTGAAAGAACATCAGCATTTATAGATCATAAGATATAATGTAAAACTATTATGAGGGACCATATTTTTAAAACATTTAAGATGATGTATAAAATTTATGTGACTGCATAAAAGCATAAACTGATTCTAAATGACTATTCTTTCGACTCAATTTTTAAATCTGCATCTTATATATACTATTTTTATATTTAATAATTCAGCTAAATATTCTAACCTGCTTCTCAGATACACAATTTCTTTAAACACTATTATTTGGGAATATATTTGAGGCACATAAAAAAGAAGAAAGCAAAGTTTATTATCTAAAAGACCTTGTTTTACTTATATCTTTGAGGGAGGGCTCTGTCCCACAGAGCTTCTCTGGGTCACCGCTGATGAGGAAAGAAACTGTACCAGACACAATTTTCCTGTCAAAAGAAGGGATGGCAGTTCTCTTTAGTGGAGAATGCCCTGAGCCTTTCCCTCGAAATGGCTTTTATAGAGAACGATATGTACAGGGGTATACAGCATGTATACAAAGACTATCAATCTACATCAAAAGGCTATAGATAATAAGTTGAAGAAATACAGAGGTTTATCTTAAATCAAGGTCTGTCAGACAAGTTGGCACCATGTGCTCATTAAGGCACAGTTTTCGGGGCTCAGAAATTATCTGCTTGTTGTGAAGTAAAACAACTGGTTTCTTCCTTCTCAGGGTGGTACAAAGCAGAGCAAGGTTCAATAATTATGTTGTATATTTTAGGCCAGATTTCCCAGAGGACCCTTGATGTTAGTACTGGTCCATGTACCTACCAGCATTCCTGGCTTTCTAGCCTAAGCTTACAGACAGGGGCCTGCTCACACAAGGCTTCAATTCCCGTTACCACACAAAGTGGTCCCTCCCCAACATATCTTTTATTTTAATCTCATTTTTGTTAACCATATTTAATACATTGAAAAGCACCCAAACTAAGGGATTATTGCATTAACTGTTCTTTCACAAAAAGGAAACAATGGTAAAATAAAATAATGAGTACATGTGATATACCTCAACAGTTCTTGCCCTGCTCCTTGTCTCTCTTGCTCTCCCTCCCTTTTCCCTGCCTGTCTTCTTCCTTTTATTTTTTTGTGAACACAAGATGCCAGGTGAATAATAGTTTCTGGTCAACTAACCTAAACAACAGTAATGGAATATCAATAGGTAATTCTAATGATTAAAATTTTTACGCATGAAGCCAAACCTATCCTATGTAAAATATTTCTTGGCAGTTTGTGAATTTTATTAACATTGTTCTCATTTTCAATATGAACCACATCTGCAATTAAGAGAAATTTAAGAAAAGTACCTTTATCTGCCTTCACACCAAATTTATAGCAGCCATGTCTCATGTCAGCATATCATTATTCATTGTTTTACTAAAATTTTCTATGCATTAATGACATTAATAGTAAAAATTAGTTGGATGGGAAACAAATGGTAGATTTTTATACTCTCCCCAACAATGCTCCTATTTGGGGAAAAATAAAGGTTTGTAAATAAATTTTTTATTTAGTACCACGTCTATTTATTTTGTTGTAGTACATTTTTTTCCCATTAGCTTCTTACTCTTTCCCCTCACCACTAGAAAACTTAAACAGTTACAACTGTTGTGGATTTTTTTCTGCAAAGTTAGCTGGCTCTTCTCTCTTTTTCTTCACTGTAACACAAGATATTAGTCAAAGAGGATACATGCCCGACTGCCTGAGACAGAATCTACTGACTATAAGATCAGCATGGTATGCACGGCAGCATCAGCGTGGTCCTGGCCCCTCCCTTACCTGTTCATATTCACCTGCTGCATCTAATTTTTTCTGCCTGAATGATTCAATTTGTTCAGAAAACAGATACTTAGAATAAAGCTAGGTATCATCTAGGGGTTACAAATATGCATCAAGCACAGGCATGTTTGATATAGCTATATTGACAAAATCCTTTTGATTTGTTTTCTTTGAATAAATTACTTTGATGAGAATTTTAGAAGTCACTGAAATTTTAGCTTTTGAATTGACTTGTGTTTTTTATTTATATATTTTTTAAATTTCTTACCTTCTTTTGTAATAGTTGACACTATTACAGATGTTCCCATCCCCACCCCCCGTTTGCTCCCCTCCGCCCAGCCCTCACCCACCCTTACTTCTGGCCATCACCACCCTGTTGTCTGTGTCGGTGGGTTATGCATATATGTTCTTTGGGTAATCCCTTCACCTTCTTTCATCAAGTCCCCCATCCTCCTCTTTTCTGACAGATGCAAGTCTGTCCCATGTATCTATGCTTCTATTTCTATCTTGTTCGTCGGTTTAATTTTTTCATTAGATTCCACATATAAGAAAGATCATATGGCATTTGTCTTCCTCTGACTGGCTTATTTCACTTAGCATAATAATCTCTAGGTCCATCCACACTCTTGCAAATGGTAAGAGTTTCTTCTTTTTTAATTATCAAGTAGTGGGAAAATATAAATATTTACTCCATTATTGAAAGCTAACCCCGACATCATACTTACTTTTTTAGAAAAAATAAGGATTGACAAAACACACACACACACACACACACACACACACACACACACACACACACACAACAAAAATGCCTGTGGGGTATAGTGAGAGAATCTGAAATGGCCTGAGAGTCAGAATTGAAGTAAATGCGAGAAACTGACTATAATGTACACCGATTGAAAAATAAAGTGATCTAACACTGTGCTTCGGCCACACAAAAACGGTAAGGTCAGATTACATAAATCTGGTGCCAACAAAATAGATTTATTATTTACATTGAATACTTAAAATATCTCCCAAATTGTAATATTTTGAAAATAATTTTATTTTGAAGTAATTTAAATAGAGGACTTCTAATGTATGTTTTTTGTGTGTGTGTATTTATGAATATCAAATTTACATGAATGTAGAAAATACCTGTATTGCCTTTTTTTCTAATTTTCACCTATAACAGATAGTGGTCAATACAAATTTAACAGCTATATACTAATTTCAAAAAATTTTAAATTTATATTGTATACAGTGGCAGTTACTGAAATGATAACACAAAACAATGCAAAGTTTTATCATAAAACATTCTAGTTTACCATACTCATTTCATTTATGTATATATGTATGTATTTTAATCCTCACCCAAGGATAAATATGTTCTTATTGATTTTAGAGAGAAGGAAAGAGAGAGAGAGAAACAGCTATATGAAAAACATGGATCAGCTGCCTCTTGCACATGCCCCAATGGAGGACCAAATCCACAATTTAGGAATGTGCCCTAACAGGGAATTGAACTTGCAACATTTTGATGAAGAAGACAACACTGTAACCAACTGAGATATCTGGCCAAGACAACCATATTTATTTTAAGCATTTGAAACAAGGTTCACATAGACAGGTGACTTTACTACACTAGAAAACTTGAAATTTAAACCCCGGTATTCTTCCTCCAACTCCAACATTCTCTTTGTGATATTAAACAGCTTTCTTATGGTCACCCGCAAAGCATGTATAAAAAATGATGCTTTATTCATATATATGTTTGTCATTTGTATAATTATTCAGCATGCAACTTCTTTGTATTCCTTAGAGGGGCTGGAGAAAAACATGTTTTTGTGTATCAATTCTTATATTTATATAAAAATATAATATATTATTACATTTATATTTTATATGTCCCAAATTATTTATTTTAATGGTTCTGTCTTAATAACAATATTAAACACATAGCATAGTATATATATATATATGTAGATATAATACATATATGTTATGATATATATATTCATATAATATATATACTGCATAATTGAACAGAAATGTTTCACCCAGAATACTGTGATTTTTCTTAGTTCTAAAACTCATAATTATTTGATTAATAGCTTTAAAAATATTTATTCCACTTAATTTATACACTCTATCTTACTCTCTTTGTCTTAAGTGGAAAAAATGATATTAGAAGTCTGTTAAGAAATTTAAAAATTTAAAAATTCTGCTTTTTGATTTTTATCCTCCTTTTTGTCATGCTTTCCACTCTTTTATTTATTTACATTGGTTTCATTTATTTTGAGTCTTCCAGTTGTAATGGCTCACTCTATCCAATTCCTCTCAGCTACTTTTCCTAGTTCATCATGTCTGGACTTCATAAACTATTTATAAAAATATTACCACATATATTCTCAATTTTATCACAACCTTTTCTTTCTGAACTATCAATCATCACAAAGTTTTACTCTAAATTAAATAAAAATTTACCCTTTTTTCAGTTTATTCATCTTTATTATTATTATTTTATAGTAATAAGAACACCACATGAGATCTACTAGAGACATCATGTTTCCCAACTTCAAAATAAATAACAAGATACAGTAACCAAAACAGTACAGTACTTACATAAAGACAGACGTACAGGCACACCAGGGAGATATTGTGGGTTGTGTGTCAGACCACCACAATAAAGTACAGCATAATCTTTCTGCTGGTTGAGGATATTGCCTTCAACTTGTAAAAAAAAAGAAAAAAAAGTACAAAATCTGTGAAACATAATAAAGTGTAGCTCAGTAAAACAAAGTGTGTCTGTATAAACCACTGAAACAAAATAGAGAGTCCCAAAATAAATTCATACATATATGGTCAACTGATCTTTAGCAAGAGTGTCAAGAATACACAACCGGGAAA